CCCCAACCTCCCCTGCCCCCCTCCCCTGCTGAGCCGTCGCTGCGCCCGTCCTGCCGGTGGTCCCGATCCGGGGCCTGCTCCTCGGCGAGCCCCAGCAGCAGCATCCGCAGGTCTGGGTGGCACGGGGCTGGGGTGAGGGGGCCCCAAAACAGCCCCAGCCCCTCCCTCCCTCTCTTCAGGGGGACCTGAAGCAGGTAGCCCCTCTGCCCCCACCCTGCACCGGGTGAACCCAGGTGTCCGAGATGCCCCACATAGTGAACCCAGGCCTCACCGCCCCCAGGGCCCCCAGCTGGGGGATGATCCCAAGGGCCCTGGCCCTGCCAGTGTCACCTGTCACCAGCCGGGCAGCGCCGGGGCTCAGCGGGGCGGCGTCCGTCTCCTCGGGGTTCTCGTACACGTCTGTGGGGGGTGAGCGTCAGCCGCGCAGCGGGGGCTGCTGCCACGGGGCACTGGGCTGGGCTCGTGGCAGGGGCCGGTGGGCACCAGCGTGGGGTCTTGGGGGTCTGTCTCCCCTGGGCCCCTGCTAGGATCTCCCCAGCCCCGAGCCCCCTGTTACCTTCTGAGTCGGGGTCTGGGGCAGCGGGTCCCTTGCGGGTGTTCGCGTACTGGGGTGCAGCTGCGGGGTCAGGGTGCAGATGAGTGAGGGGCAGGGGTAACCCCCCCATGCTCACCCCTACACAGGGACCTCCCACTCACCTCCCAGGCCCCCCAGTCACTGAGTATCAGTCCCGGGACCCCCCCCCATTACCGGTGCTCCAGCTCTCGTTGGCCTTGGCCTCCTCCATGCTGTTCTCGTAGCAGGCGCTGTCTGTGAGGGAAAAGGGGTTGTCTGGGGGATCACCCCAGAACCTGGGGCTGGGGGGGAGGGTGCTGGGCTGGAGGGTGTGTTACCGGCAGAGCCGTTGTCGCTGTCGGGGTGCTCGTAGCCCTCCTCTTCTTCCTCCTCTGGGTGGGGGATGGGGTGACGTGCAGTCAGTTTTGGGGGCCACCATAGCCCGGTCCAGGGAAACCCAGTGCTGTACCCGAGCCGGCCGTGCCACCGCCTCCCGCCAGTCATCGTGCACGGCTGCCACGCCTCAGAACTGGGCCCATGCCAGCCTCCCCGTCCATGCCACGCCGCAGCCCCCCACGGGCACTGATCCCAAGCTGGTGCCGCCCAGCCCGTGGATCGGGGAGACTCACTCACCCTCCACCTCCGCGGGGCTCACGGGGCCCTCCAAGGTCCGTGGCTCCCCTCGGCCCCCCACTGATGGCGCCATGTTCTCGTAGGGGGCT